GAACACTTTTATAGCAGGTACCATCCACGTCAGTTTCCTCTTGGCAAAAACTAAGTTAAGGGAACAGATATCTTGGGGAAAATCTAGTAATTTCTCTCTTAAAAACTGAAAGCTTTTCAGGTCTTTCCTTTTCAGATCTCTTTTCTTCCTATAAGGGCAAAATTAGATTCACCTGGAAATAACATCCACCAGAAAGGGAAGGTCAACTTAATTGCCCTAGAAAAAACAAAAAGCCTCTTCGAATATGGCAAACCTTCTCTTCTAGTTCTGTTTTCCCTTCAAGTCAGTATTAAAAGGCAGCCAGGGGCAGAGCATTTGCAGAGGTGCAGAGGAGGTGTGGCTGTTGTGGGATGCTTGGTTGAGCCAAGAAGATCGTGGTGCTCTTAGTGTAGGTCCTGAACAGTGGCAGTAGCATCAAGGACTCTGCATCTTGGGAGAAGGGACAAGCAGGGACAAGCAAGAGATCTAATGAGGAAAAAAAAAATCTTTCTGAAAAAGCTCTTTTTCCAAGTACTCTCTTTACTTTTTCACTGACCTGGATGGAAGCAACCCGCTCCAGCTCCAGGGAAGTGTCAGGTGAAGAGTCTGATTAGGGAAGTACACCTGTCCTAATGTGAGCTTAGGGAAGACAAAAACCTCCCGTGGCAAAAAACCAAACCTTGAGTCCAGTATGAATACAGACTGTGTGAATGGAACTGGGAGAGCAACACTGCCATTGGTTGCAGCTGAGTTTTCTACTGGAACTGAAAGGCAGCATGGGAAATGTAGTTCGTTCATAACAGTATGACAATAAAAAAAAGGCAGTTTGGGAAATGTAGTCCATAACATCTCTGTTCTTGACTCCTTTGAACAGTAGCAGTTTCTGTGAACAGAAAATCTTGTCAAAAACATTGGGCTAGCTGGGCAGTGGTGGTGCAGGCCTTTACACTTGGGAGGCAGAGCCAGGCGGATCTCTGTGAGTTCGAGGCCAGCCTGGGCTACCAAGTGAGTTCCAGGAAAGGCGCAAAGCTACACAGAGAAACCCTGTCTTGAAAAACCAAAAAAAACAAAAAACAAAAAAAAAAAAAACAAAAAACAAAAAACAAAAAAACAAAAAACAAAAAACAAAAAAAAAAACATTGGGCTAATAAAAATTTATCAAAGACAAGGCATCATTAAAAGAGCTCATGATAATCTTAAAAAGCAGCTTTAAAAAATTAAGAAGGGGGAAATTGTACTCTCAGAAGCTTCATGGCTGTCTGAGCATTTGGTGAGGAGTGTGGAACAGAGGAATGTCAGCTCCAATAATGCTCCTCCAGAGGAACTGAAGTGAAATCAGCTGAACCAATGTTCTTGATGTTGAGGTTCCATCCTGCAATCTGGGGAAAGCAGGAGACTTAGGGGGCTTCCAGACTGCTGAGTAGTTTGGGACAAAAGTTTTGTTGCTGTTAAGTAAAAGCTGAAAGGAAATGGAGCTAGGAGTCACACTGCTTTTATTTGACTATCAGCAAATTGATGCGTGTTTCCTTTAAGAAAGATGGTTCCTAATAGCTGTGCAGGAAGTTTTTTCTAAAAGCTTTACAGCAGCTCAATAAGGCAATTCCACTCTTGCCCTGAGGCGAGGCTTCTCTGTAGAGCGAACTGAAAGTTCTGCTGTAACTGAGTGAAGTTTCAGCAATGTTTGCTTGAGTTGTTGCACTCAGGGGAGCTGCAATGAGTTTGGGTAATGGGACAGTCCCCGGTTGGCAGTCTCTGTGCACATTTCTGCTGTTTCTGGAATGGCTGGAAGGGCCATTGGGAAAGGAGGCTTTAGGGAGTGACATTGTCCCAAGTGTTACAACCCCCTAACAACAGCACTCACCAAATCTCAGATACAAGGGAGTTGGATACAATGACTCTAGAGCCATGACAAATTAGGCTCTTGTTCCCAACGGTCAGGGGAACATTAAGGATGTTATCAAAACTGACTGTGAACTTCAGAAATGAAGCAGTTTTGAGTTCACCTGCAATTTTAACTGTGATGATTTTTGGTTCATGTAGTCTGTCTTGTTGGAAGAAAATGTAAATAGTTCTGTTAAGAGATCTGTTTTAGATGTTTGCTAAAGTTTACAAGGTAATCCTATAGAGAGTTTTCTTTTGAATGTAAGTTTGTAAGAAGTGTAAATATGTATAGTAAATAGTCATGCTAGTTGTAAATATGTATAGTAATGTTTATACTAGAATTATATTGATATTAATGAACCAGGGTTTGGTGAAACTAAGGGAATCTTTAAGTTTGATGCAGTTTATTTGATGTGGTTTGCATCAAGAGTTTATTGATTTAAAAAAGGGCTTGGCACAGCTAAGGCTGTTATAGACATCTTAAGACCCTTTCAAAAAGAACATTCCATCTTGGTCATCTTCTACTCCTTTACTGGGGGGGTTTGGCAGCCTAGGGATTGCTGGGTTGTTCAAACTACTTGCAAGCTCTTAGTAAGGACCTGAGTCAGAGTTGAGTTAAGCTGTGTACTCCCACCTACCACAGGCTGGTAGTCAGGGACAGGCAATGTTCTTCTTGTTAGCTGCCAACCAAAGACAAGAGTATGCTTGGTGGAAAGTATATCTCCATGACAGGTAAGGTTTGTCTCACTATATATTCCTGACTGTCCTGGAACTTACTGTGTTGACCAGGCTAACTCACAGAGATCTATCTGCCCATCTCTGCCTTCTAAGTGCTGGGATTAAAGGCATGTGCCACCATGCCCAGCCCTGGTTATACCCCTAAGGAGTCTTCATATTTATCTCAGTGTGAGCTATTGAAGTGGCCCTCAGAACTGTACTGCTGTCTCAAGCCTGCGCAATGATTCCTATTGGCAAAGGGACTTTGAAACTGACCACTGTGTGCCTGTGGCTTCAGAAATTGGCAACATGGATGGGCTCACACATGCCCACCTAGTCAGAGCTAGCCAGTGCTCTCAAGGACCTTCTGGAATGCCCAAAATGCCATCCTCCCACTCTGCCACAGCTAAAGGATTTCACAGTGGATGCAGGCCAAGCTTGCTTCCAAAGCATTCCCCCACTGAGAGGATGTCCAAGATCAGTGGTTCTCAACTTCTGGGTAGTGTGGAGACCCACAGAAGTTTCCTAGTGAGAACTTACTCAGGGTTCGAGAATCTGAGCTTCCTTTACCCAGCAGGGCTGCATAAGAGGATGATTTGACTGCAGATGTGGTTGCCAGGTGTTTGGAAGGGTCTACACTTGGCTGTGCAGTGTGCTTTGATCTAGCAAGGGGGAGGTCTTTTGCCCCGCCCCTTGGCATTGTTGTAAAAAGCCCTTTTGAATGAACAGAAAAGGCCTTTGGGTATTGATCCAGGCCCTCCTGAAGCTATTCTGTGTTTCTGTTTTTCTTCTCATCAACTAGGTCTTTCTAATATTTTCTTATCCCTCTTTCATAAGAACCCTGGAAAAGGTGGGAGCTGGACCCCCACAGGGTAGTGACCCCTTTAGGGTTTGAATGACCCTCACAGGGGTCACCTAAGATCACTGGAAACACAGATATTTATATTACAATTCATAACAGTAGCAAAATTACAGTTATGAAGTAGCAACGAAAACAATTTTATGGTTGTGGGTTACTACAATATGAGAAACTGTATAAGAGGGTCAAAGCATTAGGAAGGTTGAGAACCACTGCCCTAGAAGAAGCCTGAAGCATTTCCTGCCCATGTTCCCTGTTTGGTGAGATGTCTGATTACATGGGATTACCATAATCTTTATAATAGCATGGCATTGTAAGGAATGCTTGTGTGAATATACTGAGCATATTCGAGCAAATCACCTGTGGATATCCTAATCGCCCAGCGCCTCCTATTTCACTGGCCATGCTTTCCATGACCAGCATTCATCTTCCTGTTTCCTGATTGTGATTAAAATGGAACTAGGCTCCTGGAGCTCCCGCTGCCTTGACGCTTCTGCCATAATTGACTGCACCCTGAAACTATGAGGAAAACAGCTCTCCCCTAAGTGGTTTTTGTCAGGTATATTTTCACAGTATCGAGAGAATTAGTTCATATAGGTAGGCACCAGGGCTGAGGAACCCCAAGTGAGCCGCCCTGAGCCACAGCCCTATGGTAGTGCTGGTATGACTATGCCTCGTGTACTTCCTGCCTGCCCTTAGTACCTGTTTCCACGGAAAGCCAGCCTCAGGCAGTAGCATGCAGTGAGAACCTGGAGGTAAGTCCATCAAAGTTCTTCCTTGACCCTCTACCACATCCCGACTAATCAAGCCCTAGTGTACCGCTGCTTAGACATCCAAAATCTCCCCCAGGATGTCAATCCTCCCCCTCCCCTCCCCCACCCCCCACCCCGAGGTCATGCTGGAGTTTTACAGGCTCTGGGCCAAAGGCAGCCA